GCACTATTAACAACCATTCCAGCTATTAACTTACAGCTAAACATTATTTACCACAACTACGTATCACAGCACAACAGAAGGGCTTGAGATGAGAGCTAACGAGAAGTCTGAGTTAGCAGGACTGTAGCCACACAACATAAGTCACTCGCTTCTACTCACTCGTCAACCACAGATTCACTCTAGTTAATTAATAAAAAAATATAACAAATAACAAATAATTACCTATATTAACAGAAAATATTAACGGTTAAACAGAAGGAGTTTAACAAGAATCAGCCTCTCCTCCTCTTGTTAATAACAGTTTAACAAAGTGAGTTTTAAAACACACCATTACGCTAATAAAATCAACCAGTAAAGAAAATGAAACTTAAAAAAAAAACTACATTATTACCAGACATTACCAACCATAACACACCTGTGATTTACCTGTCACCTTATTGGTTAGGAAATTTATTAATTGGGTTACCACACACCTTCATTATCTCTACCCAATTATCTATTAAACTGAAAATTATGAAGAAATAGATAAAAATGAAAACTAATATATACCACACCTTTCATGAGATTTTAAAACAGGTGTACTTAATAGTTATCTAATTAAACGAAATACCTTTACTCATCAATATGCAAAAAGACTATTATTTCATATTTTCTCTTCTATCTCATTCATATTCTCTCTCTTCTTCAGTCTCCATTCCCTCTCTCCGTTTCCCTATAATCCTGTTATTTCTCTCTCTCTCCTATACACCCATTTATTAGCTCCTTCCTCTCCCTACTCTACAAACGAGGTATTTCCCTATCTCCCTTTTCACTAATTTAGTTAATATTACATTTTCCTTGATCTGTTTTAGTCCTTTACTTCCATTCCCCTTCTCCCTATCTGTCTCTCAACTGTTTCTTCTTCTTGTACTTCTTCTTCTTCTTCTTTAGTTCCTGCCTCCTCTTCTTCCTCTTATTCTTCCTCCTCCTCCTCTTCTGTATTAAGTACTTTCTTTCCAACACTTTCCTAATCTTTATCACAATTCCTTTTCATTATAATTCCTTCATTTTCTTATCCTAACAATTTCTTTTAAACACTTGACAACTATTTTTATCCCTTTCTATATTTCTATCATTATTTATTTCAAATTAATTCACTTTTTTCATATTATTAAGCTTAATTTTATCGATATTTACAGCCTCCTTTACGTCGTTATGCCTCGCTATATGAACATAGTTTAAAAATAGTGAACGAAATTCTTACATTCCGGGGATTATTTTCACCTACCAAAATACTTCGTTCATTATCTATTAAAATATGATTCTCACCGTCTTGGTTCATGGAGAGAATTATACTAAATTAAATGAAAAAGGCGAAATAAAAGTAAAACCCGCCGTTCAGACTCAAGGATGAGAATAATATAAATAATGTAGGTTTCACGCTCTACAACCTTCTTCCTTAGAGTGGCACTGACCCAAAAGAGGCACCGACCTAGAAAAGGCACTGACCCAAGAGGCACTGACCTAAGAGTAGCACTGACCCAAAAAGAGGCACTGACTTAGAAGAGGCACTGACCCAAAAGTGGCACTGACCCAAAAAGAGGCACTGACCTAAGAGTAGCACTGACCCAAAAGAGGCACTGACTTAGAAGAGGCACTGACCCAAAAGTGGCACTGACCCAAAAAGAGGCACTGACCTAAGAGTAGCACTGACCCAAAAGAGGCACTGACTTAGAAGAGGCACTGACCTTAAAGTGACACTGACTCAAAAAGAAGCACTGACCTAAAAGTGGCACTGACCTAAGAGTAGCACTGACGCAAAAGAGGCACTGACCTAGAAGAGGCACTGACCTAAAGTGGCACTGACCCAAAAAGAGGCACTGACCTAAAGTGGCAGTTTTTCTCTTCCTCCAATTTCATCTTTATTGTATCTTCCTCTCTTCCTTCCTTTACTCTCCTGCCAACACCAGCAACACTCACACACAACAACATTTCATCGTTACCAAGTCAGGCTTCTTCCTCAATGCTTCTTCCTTAATTGTCACCTTAGGCATCTCAGGTGTCTTGGGGCGAGGATCTGGTAACAAACTCAGGTGATTATTGAGTTGGTTTAACGATACTGACGAGACAGGTGTACAACAGGTAATGATGATGATGATGATGATGATGATGAGTTGACATGTTTCTTAATTAATTATGTAGGTGAGGTTATTAAGTTCTGATCATTAAGAGTTAGAGACTTAAACAGGCTCTCTCTCCACCCCTTCCATGACAGTGCTATCTCTATTTTCTCTTCCTCCTCTTACCTTCCCTTTACCATTACCCTCTTATTCCCTCTATCACTCTTCACACTACACGTCTCTCCTTATCCCTCTCCTCATTCATTTAGTTCATTCTACTTCTTCCCTTCCCCTCTTTCCTTCCCTTTTCCCATCCTCATCTTTACCACCTGTCACTCCTCTCCCCCTCTCTCTCTCTCTCAACTCCCTATGTATTTAAGTCTTATTCTTTGACACTTTCATTTCCTTTATTTTCTTCTTTACTCTTTATTATTTATCCTCTTCCCTATCTTATTTCACTTAGTCATTGAGTCATCGGTACTATTCTCTCTCTCTCTCTCTCATAATAATCCTCCTCCTCCTCCTCCTCCTCTAATCCATCAATTTCCTCTCTACGTTTTTCCACTTTTTAACAACATGACCAACTCAGTATAATTTCATCTCGGTATTAAATCAGGCTTCCGTAATGGCGGCTGTGCCCAGTTTTAATTGCCATCCTCAGCTTGTCAGGGAGCGGCGAGGTGAAGTCCTGTTGCAAGCTTGGAGGATTAAGCTTCCCCGGGGTGAGGACCGAGAGAGGGGCTGACCAGAGGGAAGGATGGAAGGATTCTTGTTGATGAAGGACACTAGTGAAGGATCACCTGAAGATTAGCACATCCAGGTTAGTTAACTTGATGAATAGACGCCGTAATGCTAACCTAACCTAACCTATCAATATAATCTAACTTAATCTAAGCTAACCTAATCCTAACATTAATAAAAATGAACCTAACCGTAACTAAAACGCAAACCTAACCTAACCTAATCGCACTTTAAACAAACCAAACCTAACCTAACCTAACCTAAGCTAACGAAACCTAACCTAACCTAACCTAACCTAACCTAACCTAACCTAACCTAACCTAACCTAACCACCCTCAGGTAGTATTCAAATATTTAATCATCAGGTAAAATAATCTTAACGGGGGGGCTAATCTACAGGTGATCCACAAACATTATATATAAAGAACCATCAAGAAACTGGGGCGATTCTTCTGAGTTTAGTTAAGTCTCCCATTTCTCCGTTTTCTTTTCTCTCTTCCTTCCCTTATTCCGTCTTTTCTTCCATTCCTCCCCCCTATTCCCTCGTTATTGTTTCCTCCTTCGTCTCATCTGCACTTGAGGTATTTCATTATCATCCCCTTCACTAAATTACCTAATTCTCTTTCTTTCTTCGTCTGTTTCCTTTCTTTTATCTTCTCCCTCTACCTATCCATTCTCTCTCTCTATCTCTCTTATTACATGTACATTCCTAGTCTCTCTCTCTCTCTCTCTCTCACATACATTCCCCCCAATCTTTATCACTTTCTTCTTTCTGTTCCTTATACATTGTCATCGCCTTACACACACGATGACGTCACTTCATTAATATGTGCATAATTAAGATATAATGAACCACACTATCAAGGTTGATTAAATCAAAATCTCACTAATTGATTGACATTGTAATTAATTCTGATCCTGGCTTCTCCACGACCCTTCATGTACACACAATAGCATCTCAACTAGTATTGGAAACTTTTTACTTCAATGTATTTATCTTATGGACAAAACTGAGTGTCATAGCGAATAAACTGTTTATCTCTCGTTTTATCCTGTCTGATTTTTATTAGGGATAAAACAAATTTAAGTAAGAAGTTGGGAAAAGGATAGATGGTATTTTCCTCACTTTGGTATTCTCCCCGTAATACCAGTATTCTCCCCATAATATTAGTATTCTCCCCATAATATCCATACTGTCCTCATCAATATTCTCCCCATATGATCAGTACTCCCCTCACATCATCAGTACTCTCCCCACATCATCAGTACCCTCCCCACATCGTCAGTACTCTCCCCATAACATCAGTACTCTCCCCATAACATCATGTTAGACAATGACCAACATCTCACCATCATTAACCTGATCTTTCCCCCTAATACTAAAGGGGCCGTTTCAATTGTCATCCTCGGCAGCCTCTTAGGGAACGCCGGGACGAGGCTCCGGTACAAGCTCAGGGGATTAGTAGTGTCGGCTCAAGGACCACTGTGAAGACGAGGAGGAGCTGCCTGAAGGAGGAGAGAGGATAGGAGAGGGGGATGCTCTTGATACAGGTGAGATGAGTGTTACAGGAGAGTGAAGGATGTGGGGAGAGAGAGGGAGAGGCAGGGGGAGAGGGAGAGGGGAAAGGGTCTTTTCAGCTCAGCCAGTGTGTCGTAAGAAGGTAAATGAAGCTGTAGGTACACGACCATGGCCGCCTTGGCACACTTCCACAACACACTGACGACAACTGTTATTACCCCGACCACCAGAAGGCGACCCAAGGGCTGATCGTTTTTATTCCCCTGTGAAGGTAATAATCCTGACACACACACACACACACACACACACACACACACACACACACACACACACACACACACACACACACACACACCCACAGAAAAGTTACTTCTACCCAAAAAAAATTAGAAAATAATAATCAATAGTTAATTCTAATACTGAAATACTGTGATACTAAAGTAGAAGGTAAAATAATGTATATCAACCCATCATACAAACTCTACTAGCGCGAGTCTATACACACACACATAATATAAACACTATAGGCCTATATTTTTATAAAAATAATACGCCTATATTTTATCAACATAGAATATCCTCAAAAATAAAAAATGAAAATAAGTTAGAATATTTTTCCTCAAGCCTACAATAACCTCCAGCACCAGTACCTCGCCCCTCAACCTCCAGCACCAGTACCTCGCCCTCAACCTCCAGCAGCAGTACCTCGCCCCTCAACCTCCAGCAACCTCCAGCAGTACCTCGCCCCTCAACCTCCAGCAGCACCTCGCCCCTCAACCTCCAGCAGCAGTACCTCGCCCCTCAACCTCCAGCAGCAGTACCTCGCCCCTCAACCTCCAGCACCAGTACCTCGCCCCTCAACCTCCAGCAGCAGTACCTCGCCCTCAACCTCCAGCACCAGTACCTCGCCCTCAACCTCCAGCAGCAGTACCTCGCCCCTCAACCTCCAGCAGCAGTACCTCGCCCTCAACCTCCAGCAGCAGTACCTCGCCCCTCAACCTCCAGCAGCAGTACCTCGCCCTCAACCTCCAGCAGCAGTACCTCGCCCCTCAACCTCCAGCAGTACCTCGCCCCTCAACCTGCTACACCCCTCAACCTCCAGCAGCAGTGCCTCGCCCCTCAGCCTCCAGCAGCAGTACCTCGGCCTCCAGCACCAGCAGCAGTACCTCGCCCTCAACCTCCAGTACCTCGCCCCTCAACCTCCAGCAGCAGTACCTCGCCCTCAACCTCCAGCACCAGTACCTCGCCCCTCAACCTCCAGCACCAGTACCTCGCCCTCAACCTCCAGCAGCAGTACCTCGCCCCTCAACCTCCAGCAGCAGTACTCGCCCTCAACCTCCAACAGCCCAGCAGTACCTCGCCCCTCAACCTCCAGCAGCAGTACCTCGCCCTCAACCTCCAGCAGCAGTACCTCGCCTCAACCTCCAACAGCAGTACCTCGCCCTCAACCTCCAGCAGCACAACCTCCAGCAGCAGTACCTCGCCCCTCAACCTCCAGCAGCAGTACCTCGCCCCTCAACCTCCAGCAACAGTACCTCGCCCTCAACCTCCAGCAGCAGTACCTCGCCCCTCAACCTCCAGCAGCAGTACCTCGCCCTCAACCTCCAGCAGCCCTCGCAACCTCCAGCAACAGTACAGTACCTCGCCCCTCAACCTCCAGCAACAGTACCTCGCCCCTCAACCTCCAGCAGTACCTCGCCCCTCAACCTCCAACAGCAGTACCTCGCCCCTCAACCTCCAGCAACAGTACCTCGCCCCTCAACCTCCAGCAGCAGTACCACCTCTCCTTCAACCTCCTACACCCCTGCACCTCTCCCATTAA